TTTCCACTCCTCCAGCTGAATTTATTCGATCCCAGGATGCCCGTCAAAATAGCCTTTCTGCCATTTCGGACTGCCAAACACATAACAAGCACCACACATCGCTGGGCTTTCTTTGTGCTTGCCAGGAACACTGCACACTGCAGCGGCGCTGAATCAGCTGTCAACCGATGGCACTGCATGGACGTGCAATCGTAATCTAACTGTGGGGCATTTTGGCAAACGTGCACTCGCAATCTAACTGTGAGGCATTTCGGCAGGATTCTCGATGCTGAACGGTGGATTGACTTGAACCACCACCGCAGCTCTGGAAAATCGAAACTGGAAACTCGCTTCGCTGGCAGATATCGGTCACATTGTATGACACTTTGTCTGGCTGGGTGAAGGATGAAAATAAGAAACCGTCTTCATCACTAGATGCAGTCTTTTTTTAATGGAATTGACATGCGCTCCAATATCCAGACTGGAAAACCGTCGTTCCCAATCCAAGTCTAAGTCTAGGCGTTTTGCCTCTCAGTGGTTTTTCACATGTTTTTTTTAAATAATGTACCTCATTCCATCACTGTTTGGTCATCATTCCTATTTGATGGCGACGACGGTCGACTGGGGGTAGCATTTTCGGACACATCCACAGAAAATGAAGTTAAGGTAATATATCCCATTAACTTCCGACTGACATGCCCATTGTACCGAAAAAAATTGTACGAGTATGTTCACTCTCCAGTAAACTTACATAGATGTGCAAAATCCACTACTTGTAGATCTTGTAGATAATTGTTCAAAGGTTTCCCAAATGAAATTGCCAGATCCATGCTAGTATACCCTAGGGGAAATCAGGTTAAATGAGTTTTTTACAGGTTGTGTTTGTCAACTTCGCTATCAATGGGGTCCTCACCCTGAACCAAGTCCTAAGCATAACTATTATTTGCATATTCCCAGAGGTTTCCAATCCATGGGGGTACCTGGTACCTCATGTGGATGACTGACTTGCACTGACTTGATCCAAACCATGACTTCAGAACTCCCTTTAAAACCATACGATCTAAAGATTCTATAGATTGGTGAGATTGTTTATCAATGATTATCATAGGTTGATAACTTGAAGTATGGTAATCACCTATGATATACCCGATTTATATTTGATATAAAAAAAAAACCTGTGGTAATCTAAGGTGATAATCACTTTATCAATTGAGCAGTGTTCAAACCCCCTCTGTCATTCCATTATAGTGTTACTGGTTGGTTAATGGGATTCCCCGTTATTGGGTTATAGTTATTGTAATCCCCAACAAAAATTGGGTAGTATAATCTCCGAACTAATCATCAACCAACAGGGGTTATAATCACCCGGTATCAATTCATGGTCATCACCATGCTCTGCCCATGGGGCCGCCCGGCCGAACAACTCTTCTCTTCGCCCAACCAGAACACTTCCACCAACGCGGCGACGCTCAGATTTTCACCACCACGCAGGCGACGACAGTGATGTCGTCCATCTTGCCGCCCATGTGCCTAGGGAAAACTGTCTAAAACAACGCATTTCAGATGGAAAATCACCATTACAATATGGGAAAACTATGGAACATTATTGAACTAAATGGAAGTTTCTAGCTGGGAAATCCCCGAACTAAATGAAGGTTCCAATATATTGTGTGTGTTTGATGGAAAATTTACCATTCTGTAATCAAACATGGCTGGCTGGGAAATAGCCGAACTAAATGGAAGTGGAAAAATCATCGGCAGTGACTTTCCGTGACTTTCCAGCCAGCCACATTTGAAATGTGATTAGAGGGGAATTTCATAATATATAATCATCATTTAAATGGGCATTAGAGGGGAATAATCATCATAATAATCACCCAAACATGCTGGGAATAATACCCTGTTGTTATTTAACATAGCCATGGAAAATGGCCCATTTATAGATGGTTTACCTATTAAAAATGGTGATTTTCCATGGCTATGTTAAATAACCAGAGGGTAATCATTTAAATGGGCAATTTTCCGAAGAAATGACTCTGAACAGAGCAGATTTTTCCGAGGGTCCATGCCGTCCTGAAGAAGCAAATCAGCTGGGGGCATCCTGCCTTTCAGTGACACATACTATACCTAATCATATTGAGTTGGTTATACTCATATGTGTGTAATTATGTGTACATAACATTCATTGATTGAGTTGGTTATGTATATATAATATACATATATATATATATATTGTAGTAGCCCGGTTAGTGTGGTATTCTGTATTGTGTCAAGTTTTTCCAAAATAATTCTTAATCAGTTCTTTTATGAGGCAATGTTTTTTTGTTCAGCATTTTTTGATTTCTATTTTTTACTTTTGGATTTGTTCATTTTATTGAAAATAATTAATTTTTTATTTAATGAATACTTGCAACATGTTTTTAAACATACAAACAATAATTATGGGATGCCTTATTAAAACTCAATCAAAAAACAGCACCCACACAATTTTTCAAGAGGGTAGTCCATGAGCAACCCTGATCTTCAATAGTATGTTTGTTGTGGTGGTCCTCTATTGTGTCCAGCTTTTTTATGAATATATTTTCTTCCCAAATCCTTTTCTCCTTTCCTTTTCCTTTCCTTTAGTTATTCTATCTTACTTTCTTATTTCCATTCTTTTGGATTTCTCCAAATGTCTAATTTCCCAAAATATATGATGTATTATTAAAACCCCATTAAAAAACAGCACCCAAACAATTTTTCAAGGGGGTAGCCCATGAGCAGCATTGATCTTCAATAGTATGTTTGTCGTGGTGGTCCTCTATTGTGTCCAGTCTTTTTTATGAAGATATGTTTTTCCCAAACTCCTTTTTTCCTTTCCTTGTCCTTTCCTTTAGTTATTTTATCTTACGATTCCTATGGGGTTTCAAAAGGATATCTATGGTATTTCTATGATATTTCTATGGGATTTCTGTGGGATTTCCATGCTATTTCTATTGGATTCCTATGATATTTCTATGAGATTACTATGGGGTTTAAAACGGATTTATATATATATATGGTATTTCTATGATATTTCTTCAGGAATTCTTTGGGAATTCTATGGGATTTCCATGAGGTTTCTTTGGAATTTCCATGGTGGTTCTATGATATTTCTATGGGATTTCTATGATATTTCTATGGGATTACTATGGGATTTCGAAAGGGATGTGATGGTATTTCTATGGGATTCCTACGGCCTACGGGGTTTCAAAAGGATGTCTATGATGTTTCTATGACATTTCTATGGGATTTCTAAGGGATTTCCAAGGGAATTCTATGGGATTCTTATGGGATTTCTTTGTGGTTCCTATGCTATCCATGTTATTTCTATTATCTTTCTATGGGATTTCTGTGGGATTCCTATTGGATTTCCATGATATTTCTATGATATTTCTATGGGATTACTATGGGATTTCAACTGACAGTAAATTCAAATCAATGGAAAGTAAATTGAAATCATTTGAAAGTAAATTGAAATCAATGGAAAGTAAATTGAAATCATTTGAAAGTAAATTGAAATCATTTGAAAGTAAATTGAAATCAATGGAAAGTAAATTGAAATCATTTGAAAGTAAATTGAAATCATTTGAAAGTAAATTGAAATCAATGGAAAGTAAATTGAAATCATTTGAAAGTAAACTGAAATCAATGGAAAGTAAATTGAAATCATTTGAAAGTAAATTGAAATCATTTGAAAGTAAATTGAAATCAATGGAAAGTAAATTGAAATCATTTGAAAGTAAATTGAAATCAATGGAAAGTAAATTGAAATCATTTGAAAGTAAATTGAAATCAATGGAAAGTAAATTGAAATCATTTGAAAGTAAACTGAAATCAATGGAAAGTAAATTGAAATCAATTGAAAGTAAATTGAAATCAATTGAAAATCAATTGAAAGTAATTTGAAATCAATCAAAATCAATTGATAAAAAATTATTCAGAACCCGATCCCTAAAAAAAACACATTAAAGAGAGTCTCATAATTGTTTAGGGGGGTGGCCCCCTACACTAATCAGGATCCGACATTATAATTATATACATACATATATGTATATATATATTTATGTAAAACAGTGAGGCCACTGCGAGATTGTGGGAGCTGACAGGGTCAGGTGTTTCTTGGAAGGAGCCGCTAGCCATTCACAATGATATTATATAATGTGAAAGCATAGATAATACACAATAACCATTTAGCCATGTATACATCTAGCCATTCCATTTAACATGATAAAATCAATTCTAGCCATTTAACATTATATATGCATTATATGCATAGAGTTGATTTTATAATGTTAAAGCTGTGTATACGAATCTAGCGAATCCACATCATTCTCCGTGAAGATCCCCCGATGACAAAATCGCCACAATTAGCAGCTTTAGGGTTTCTTTGTTGTTGGATGACTTCCAACAGCATATGGAATAAATATGGGTAATATATATATATATATACATATATATTATGTCAATATATGGTATATTTATCATATCTCTAGAATCTATAGGATGATCCCAAAATCTGAACTTCTAGATCTTTCCAGATCTGAACAAAGACCATCTGCTAAAAAATGCAGGGCTTGCCATGTTTTGACGCATATAGAAGCAGTTTTTAGATGTGATCATAGAATTATCCGGTGTTTTTTTTAATCATCTTGTAAAGTTTGCGAATCTTATTTGTTCAGCTCTCCATTTTTGCTGGAGTGTCCGGGACATGTGCATATCATATAATGCATACCATTGCGACTCATAAATATACGATGTACCATAATATAATGAATACTATGCTATGACCATAAATTGCCATTAACTGGTTATAAAAATACACTATCCCATATGCTCCATGTATGGTATATTTGCCTACATATGGGATCATTTGGGTTAATTTTTGGGTAAATGTTGGTAAATATTCCATACATGGGGTATAAAGTATTTGCACATCCACCATGGTTTTTGGTTTCTGGGTGGTGTTCAATATGAATGGGGAAAGGGACAAAAAAAACCCATGATGTTTCCCATGGATATTCTCATCATATTCCCATGACCATAACATGATTCATAACCGTCAAGGCCGGTGCTGACCGAGCTGCTGCAGCCCGGCTTGACGTGCCAGATTGCCGAAGGGGGTTCGCGCCGAACTGTCCTTTGAGACGGCTACAAATTGGTACAAGGTGAGGCCCCCGGTAAACATGGATGTTACGAACATCCATAAATGGTGATAGCTAAGTTGACGCACATAACTTAAGGTTAACTGTGGAGGACATAACATGACATAACACTTAATGGGACAAAAAATGGGTTTACCTTCGGCAACTTATCTGCAAAACCTCACCTCATAGAGAAAGAGAAGTCACGAAGTCTCCATTCCAGTGGCTATCAATTTTACTGGGATGAAATAACTCTGTTTCTGGTGCACAGATTCTGGACTTTTTGAGGGGGATGTGTGATAAATGGGTCGACCATGTTTGAAACTACCAACCAGTGGCTTTCAATTTCCCAAATGTTTGATTTTTGAAGTAGTGGAAAAGATTCATACAGGACTTAGGCAACTTAAATACCATGGTAATATCATCCAATCATGAGAGTTCACCCATGTTTTCCCGCTGTTTTTCCTGATAATAATTTTGTTGTTCAACGGCTGGGGATTGTTGGGGGTATTCTTCACTCCAAGTAGCCTCTGGTAAACATACAAAAAACGAACATGGAAAGATCCAGCATTTTCAATGGGTAAATCATGGTAAATCCACTATTTCTATGGGCCATGGCTTCAATAGCTATGTTTTTTTACCAAAGGGTAGCATTGGTTACATGTTTTTGTTGATGGTCTGTTCGAACTCGGATTGATCTGACCTTTCTTCAGAATCCCATGGCCCCCTGTGGCTTCATCGGTCTGGCAGTCCATGGCTCCTCAAAACATAGCCAGTCTTAGAGATCCCGCGAAAAAAAACAAACATCTTAGCTGGTCAGTAAAAAATCGTAGATAATCCCATTGATACCCTGACTAGTTAGGATTAGTTTCTACCCATCCAGTCGATTGACCTAGAAAAAACCCCCTCAAAAGGCACTCCCAAAGGCTACGGTATCCCCAATGAACATCGCACCAAAGTCCTCGGATCGCACGCGTGCTGCCTCCGCGTAGGCTTTTGCCAGCCTGATGATGATGCGGGCCCCATCCTGCATGCCTCCCATCTAAAAGGCCCACAGTTTGTGTAGATACCAAATATAATTATTGGTTGGTGGTATACCTACCCCTCTGAAAAATATGAGTTCGTCAATGGGGTTGGGATGACATCCCTTTTTTATTATGGGAAAAAAAACATGTTAGAAACCACCAAGCAGTCTATACATCGCTGCCACATATGATGTCTCCAAGGGTATCCATGGGTCTTTCCGTGGTCCACGTGTCCGACGCCTGTTTGGGTCGATCTGCCATGGACCACTCTTGTCACGTCCCATCGTGGCCTGGGCACGTACGCAGGGCTGCAGGGTGTGGATAGAGAGATGTCAACATGTTGGATTCTTGTGGCTTAATGTCATAATATGTACAGAATATCATTAATAAGTAACTAGATCTGGTATATTAGTATATATTTATATAATTTTATATAACTAGAATCAATATCATGTGGGTAAAACAATGCCATTTGCACCACCCATTTGGGAATGGAAAACATCCCAGCTATCAAAACGCTGATGACTGGGGGATGGTTCAAACATGTTCAAATGACATTGTTTTACCCACATAAAACCACATTAGATAGCATTAGATGATCATACTATCTTGAACCGTGGAAACGTAGATGCTGATTCTTATCGAACAGAAAAAACGTGGCTGGGAAATGGGAAATCCGCGGAACATCCCCGGTCGCGAGCATTGGATGGTTTATTTCATGGAAAAGCCCATCTATAAATGGATGATTTTTTGGGGTACCCCTATGACTTGTTGGAAACCTCCCCATCTGGCCCGTGGAAAAGAGAGTTTGGCGATCTATCCCGATTTCGCACTTTTCGGCATCTTTGGATAATCGCAGCGGCGCAATGGAGTTGAATGATATGGTTTAACACCATTCATTCTAGCATAGAGGTTGTTGATATTGCATTTCTATGCGTTTCTAATATTCAATACCCCCCCATATGACACCCCCAAATGAATAGATGCCAGTTTATGTCACTACAGTTTCGTTTGCAAAATCATATTAGAGGGATGGGATGATTGGTGGCGATGCGCATGGATTTGATGAAGAGAATGGTTAATGGAGTTGCTAGTGATTCTCAGTGGATTTCGCCTGACTCATATGACTAGACCCCAGATCAGCCAGATAATGGGAATAAGAATGCTGAAAAGGGGAATAAACAATTAGCAATCATGGCAGCATGGCAAACAAGTCCCTATTTCCTCGGCAGTGGTGCTCCAATATTATATTGGAGGACAACTCACAGTCTACAACGACTTGAATTGTCCCAGAATAACTGTACATTTGCCCAGACCCTCAAAATCCTTTCAGAGCTGCACCTGCTAATTCCATACTAGCAATATAGTGGGAGATGAAAGGCGCTGGGTATGCCTCCACATTTGTTGACTAGATTACGGTTCTTTTTTCTGGGTGTTGGCTAGCTGTATCCGTGCATTCTCCTCTCTTGGGCTCCGAGAGTACCAAAGTTCGAGAGACTTGCTTTTTCTGCATGCTTGGTACACAATGGTGCCCCATACTCTGCTGCGTCAGTTTCCAGCTATATGCATTCGTTTCCAACTATGCGAACATATCTAGACTAGGCTTATGACAATATTATGGTTGGATTGCTTTACAAACCAACTTGTAACCTCCAGACAAACCATTTTTTGAGTCTCTTCAAAATTGATCATATAATCTTCTGTGGCACGGCATGACAGGTATTCGGAACACTAGGGTTGATGCTTTGTTGCTCCCCTGCCAAGAAAAACTTCAACTTCACCATACCTCACCTTTTCGCTCAGTGTCCTGGACTACAGTTTTTTTCCCATGACCAAATAGATGGACGTCTCAACGTTCCAATCTTTTTGATCGACGTCTCGTCAGGAAGATTGCTAGATATTTCCATGATTAGTTTTGAACCATCTTGGTACCAAATGCTTCATCTAAAAATAGCTGCCGTGAATACTAAGGGAACGGATAAAGGATGTGAATGTATAATCATTCTTCATCATTATCTTAATATTTTATACCATATTACATCCTATTACCTTAATTTACATTAATTTACTAATGATCAATCATTTATCTGTTCATGTACAGTATAATCATTTATGGGGCGTGGCGTTCATGTGACAAACCTTAAGAATGGTCCATGTTGGCTATCCCACTTCTCAAATCTGAGTAAACCATCACTTGGGGGTTCAACATGGAACCAAAACCGATCAGCAAAAATATAACTTCAACATACCCTCTGGTTATGACTAACAGCTTGCCATGGAAAGATCCACCATGCTATTAAGTTCGGTAAACCATCTATTTCGATTAGGGCCATCTATACCATGGCTATGTTAGTCATAACCAGGTACTTAAACAGTCTGTTACATTGTTACATGTTCTTGCTTCACTTTTTGCTGGACATCACCATTCATTTACGACCATCCATGATCGATCGATAGATCGTTTCTGAGCATCTGATCATCCATGAGACATGGTCTTCATGCGATCCAATTCCCCCAGCCAAAGCAAACTCGAAAGTTCACCGCCTCCAAAGAGATTTGAGCCAACTCGCAGACCTGACATTCACCAAGCGGTGGAAGTCACTGAAAGTCATGATAGACAAAGGTAGACACCATATCATTTCTAGAGGTATAACATAATATAATATAATATATATATATAACTAACATGGTATAACCAATTTCATAAACCTCTGAGAGGATTTTTCTCAGGTGTCAAACCACTTCGCCAAAAAAAAACACATTTACAGTAAGAGATGATTTTTGGTGAGGATATCATCGACAGAAACAGGATGCGACCGTCAAATTGATGTCCAAACCAAGCAATTCTTGAGGCCTTCTGTCACACCTTGCGTGATCATGTTCAGATCCCAAGATGTACTGACGGAGAATTGCCGGGATATCCCGTATAATCAGCCGTGTCTTGAGGTTAGTTAGAACGAGTAAACATGGCGATGTTTACCAATCTACAACAATTGACAATCTTCTGGTGAGTGATGGAGGCACGCAAGGGGATCATTGTACAAAAAAATCAGGAGTCATTTTTAACCACCCAGAAAACTCTGCAGTTTTCTATCATGTGGTTGCGAAACTCAATTCGCAGCTCCAAATTCTGCTCTCAATAAAAATATCCGGGATAACGATAGCTCCAAACCGCTCCCTGAAAAACCACACATAGAAAATCGCACCGCTATCGCCCATCCCATCCCAAAGCCATAAATGGGAAATGGTCAAAATAAAAGATATACACCATTGGCTGCGAAGTGGTTGTCCCCCCAGTTAACATCAATGGTCACGATCGCACGATCTTTTGGATGATCTCCGAAATCCAACTATGCCACTATGCCACCTGGGAAAAATGGAATCTATTACGGTCATTGAAAACATCTCCATTTCCGGTCTAAATGCCAAATCTTTACAGCTTTAACATGTTTGATTGCTTAAGTGTACATTTCTTGTTGGTGTGATTTGGCGTTTGTCATTTTGATTCGCATGTTTGGTCATTCCTGAACAAAACTCCCCAGATCTTACTTCGCAGGTGAAGTCCGCCTCTGAATCGTGAAGGTTGTCGAAAATGCCATCGGTGCCCATAAGCACCACATCGCCTTCCTCCACCTAACGTTTCGGGCATTTCTCCAGTATGTATGTAGGAAAGTAGGTAGGTAGGTAGGTAGAAACGAATGAATGAAGGAATGAATGTCATACATAACACACAATACTGTAATCTATATAATCCAAATTAATTGAATCTGATCTAGCCTATCTACATGATTTATCTACGTAGATATAGTATATTGTCTATGTAGGAGTGGGTACAATATCCCAAGTTGTGATTTTCAAATGTTTCTTCGGAATGCTGGTCAGTCAAATTCTGCATTATATAGGCCTCAGGATTATATATAATTATATGTATATATGTACATGTATATACATATCCACGACATATCAACGGACATCAATGATGTAAACCACCTGTGTCATGTGCTACAAAAAACATTAATAACTAGATCAATGTATATATAATATATGTGGCCATGTGCGAGACCTAGTTTACCCTATATTGGGGAAAACTTGACATCAATTAACATCCATTTGCCCCCTAATTGCGTTACTCAACTCCTTTAAGGTTCATGGATCATGGCTTCGCAGAGCCTCTGGGTCCTCCTCAAAACTTGACAAACAAGTTGGATTTCACAAGCAGCAACTCCCTTCGAGACTAACAAATAGTCGCGGAACAAAAATACTATGGGGATGCACCACGGGATTTTACCAGCTAGTGAAGCATAGTTTGGCCCAGAAACAGAACCTGGAAATTTTAACGAATGGAGGGGACAAAAAAATGATCAATGAGGTCGAACTTATGTGAAACCAATCAAGAAACGGTTCTATCTAGGTGTGTTTCAACTTGAGCACGAATAATGGTTTTTTGAGGTATTTCCAGTTCATGGATGATGAACAACCCCAATCATCAACCAGTGGTGTCGAATTTACAACTCATCTTTTAAAGGTGGTAGGATGATTAGTGCTAAAAGGTCAGCAGGGATCATCATAGCATATCCTACCGATTATCATACCTAGAGTCTATGGTTCAATGGATTGGTTTAAGGGAACATCTACAGGAAACCATGGTTTTTACCATCAAATATAGGGCTTTCCTGTAAATTTTCCCATCATCCAATTCTATGAATGGTTGAAAAGAGGGAAAAAAAACATATGAAATCACGAAGCATTTCATCACGAAGCAGATGATGAAAAAGCGGATTTGCACCCAAAATGATTCATCAGGTCAAAAGATGGGCTGTACCAATCATAGTTTCTGATGTGGTATCATGATGGTAATAATTCACCTGCCAAACTTACTATCCGATCCCTAGCTTGATACTAAGTGACCTTCTAGTTGGGATATGTTACCATACAATCCAGTGACTATTGGGATATACAATCCAGCAGGCCAAATTACTATATGAGAACTATAAATTACATCTAATCACTATATAGATCAATTTTGTATATAGATAACTAATTACTGTACATCTAATTCCTATATATAGATAACTGTAAATCCACGTAAAACGCACTTGCTATTCGTCGCCGTAACGGCATGACCGCTATTTGCGATCATGGCACCTCAAAGGTATAGGCGTCCGCATGCGATGGTAGATCCTGGTGAGTTGGCGGATCTGTGCCATGGTCCGACTGGGTTATTTGGAACCCCCATCAGTAGATGAATGACCATCGGCCAATATAATAACATAGGTATAATATAATTAAGTATAATTCTACTTGGAGCTTTATCCCACTATGTATATATCCCCAGTTTTGTTAGTGGGATAAGTAGGGTTAATCTACTTAGAACTAGGGTGTACTAACCCACTTACGATTCGTGGGATGAGCCACCCGTTATACATATAATTATATATACACATTCTTCATATATGTATGTATATATATAATCCAACTTTTGACACTCTCGCATGAACTCAGAGGTCCATAATGACACAGCCCCGGACTCCAACTTTTGACAGACCTATCCATGAGTCAAACCCTGGCAGCCTACCTTAGAATAGCTGATTAGTCTGGATGCCGATTCCCCATTTTTGATCATCCAAGTCAGACATCATTAGACCATGGCTTAGTGTATTTAACAACAGAAAACAACCATGGTGACTTAGGTTTTTGATGGTTTTTTCTTTCATGACTTCAGGTTAACAACAAAAAATCTGTGACAACAATTTCTGTCCAAATCTTCGTTGATTTGTGGAGGATTCCCGGTGGCAGGCCGCCAGGCCCCTCCTGTTTGGAAGTGCCCGACTTCTCCATGGCTCGCACAAGGGAAGCCATGCCTTTGGCCTTTAGGTCCGCGTAATCCTGACCGTTCGAAAAAAAAATGACCATGGTTTTCAGAACGTGATTTTCATAGTGGTTTTCATAGGCTATAAACCAACAGTGGGAAAAACAGACTGATTGATTTCAGGGTGACTATGGTTTTCATAGTGATTACCCCCTGGTTATGACTAACAGTTTGCCATGGAACATCACCATGCTATTAATAGGTAAACCATCTATTTCTATGGGCCATCTATACCATGGCTATGTTAAATAAACAGATGGTAATAGTGGTTTTCATAGGCTATAAACCAACAGTGGGAAAAACGGACTGATTGATTTCAGGGTGACTATGGTTTTCATAGTGATTACCCTCTGGTTATGACTAACAGTTTGCCATGGAAAATCACCATGCTATTAATAGGTAAACCATCTATTTCTATGGGCCATCTATACCATGGCTATGTTAAATAAGCAGATGGTAATAGTGGTTTTCATAGGCTATAAACCAACAGTGGGAAAAACGGACTGATTGATTTCAGGGTGACTATGGTTTTCATAGTGATTACCCTCTGGTTATGACTAACAGTTTGCCATGGAACATCACCATGCTATTAATAGGTAAACCATCTATTTCTATGGGCCATCTATACCATGGCTATGTTAAATAAGCAGATGGTAATAGTGGTTTTCATAGGCTATAAACCAACAGTGGGAAAAACGGACTGATTGATTTCAGGGTGACTATGGTTTTCATAGTGATTACCCTCTGGTTATGACTAACAGTTTGCCATGGAACATCACCATGCTATTAATAGGTAAACCATCTATTTCTATGGGCCATCTATACCATGGCTATGTTAAATAAGCAGATGGTAATAGTGGTTTTCATAGGCTATAAACCAACAGTGGGAAAAACGGACTGATTGATTTCAGGGTGACTATGGTTTTCATAGTGATTACCTTCTGGTTATGACTAACAGTTTGCCATGGAACATCACCATGCTATTAATAGGTAAACCATCTATTTCTATGGGCCATCTATACCATGGCTATGTTAAATAAACAGATGGTAATAGTGGTTTTCATAGGCTATAAACCAACAGTGGGAAACACGGACTGATTGATTTCAGGGTGACTATGGTTTTCATAGTGATTACCCTCTGGTTATGACTAACAGTTTGCCATGGAACATCACCATGCTATTAATAGGTAAACCATCTATTTCTATGGGCCATCTATACCATGGCTATGTTAAATAAGCAGATGGTAATAGTGGTTTTCATAGGCTATAAACCAACAGTGGGAAAAACGGACTGATTGATTTCAGGGTGACTATGGTTTTCATAGTGATTACCCTCTGGTTATGACTAACAGTTTGCCATGGAACATCACCATGCTATTAATAGGTAAACCATCTATTTCTATGGGCCATCTATACCATGGCTATGTTAAATAAGCAGATGGTAATCGTGGTTTTCATAGGCTATAAACCAACAGTGGGAAAACGGACTGATGATTCAGGGTGACTATGGTTTTCATAGTGATTACCCTCTGGTTATGACTAACAGTTGCCATGGAACATCACCATGCTATTAATAGGTAAACCATCTATACCATGGCTATGTTAAATAAGCAGATGGTAATAGTGGTTTTCATAGGCTATAAACCAACAGTGGGAAAAACGGACTGATTGATTTCAGGGTGACTATGGTTTTCATAGTGATTACCCTCTGGTTATGACTAACAGTTTGCCATGGAACATCACCATGCTATTAATAGGTAAACCATCTATTTCTATGGGCCATCTATACCATGGCTATGTTAAATAAGCAGATGGTAATAGTGGTTTTCATAGGCTATAAACCAACAGTGGGAAAAACGGACTGATTGATTTCAGGGTGACTATGGTTTTCATAGTGATTACCCTCTGGTTATGACTAACAGTTTGCCATGGAACATCACCATGCTATTAATAGGTAAACCATCTATTTCTATGGGCCATCTATACCATGGCTATGTTAAATAAGCAGATGGTAATAGTGGTTTTCATAGGCTATAAACCAACAGTGGGAAAAACGGACTGATTGATTTCAGGGTGACTATGGTTTTCATAGTGATTACCTTCTGGTTATGACTAACAGTTTGCCATGGAACATCACCATGCTATTAATAGGTAAACCATCTATTTCTATGGGCCATCTATACCATGGCTATGTTAAATAAACAGATGGTAATAGTGGTTTTCATAGGCTATAAACCAACAGTGGGAAACACGGACTGATTGATTTCAGGGTGACTATGGTTTTCATAGTGATTACCCTCTGGTTATGACTAACAGTTTGCCATGGAACATCACCATGCTATTAATAGGTAAACCATCTATTTCTATGGGCCATCTATACCATGGCTATGTTAAATAAGCAGATGGTAATAGTGGTTTTCATAGGCTATAAACCAACAGTGGGAAAAACGGACTGATTGATTTCAGGGTGACTATGGTTTTCATAGTGATTACCCTCTGGTTATGACTAACAGTTTGCCATGGAACATCACCATGCTATTAATAGGTAAACCATCTATTTCTATGGGCCATCTATACCATGGCTATGTTAAATAAGCAGATGGTAATCGTGGTTTTCATAGGCTATAAACCAACAGTGGGAAAAACGGACTGATTGATTTCAGGGTGACTATGGTTTTCATAGTGATTACCCTCTGGTTATGACTAACAGTTTGCCATGGAACATCACCATGCTATTAATAGGTAAACCATCTATTTCTATGGGCCATCTATACCATGGCTATGTTAAATAAACAGATGGTAATAGTGGTTTTCATAGGCTATAAACCAACAGTGGGAAAAACGGACTGATTGATTTCATGGTGACTAAATGGTGATTGAAGCATCAACAACTAGAACAACTAGTTGGTGGTTGCTGCTAACCCCTCTGAAAAATGATGGAGTAAAAGTCAGTTGGGGTTGTGTTCCAAACCACCAACCAAAAAATATGAGGATTTTGTGGAATTGAATGAGAATGTTATGGGATACATAGCATGTGTTTTCGGGAACATGATGGCTAACCATGACCAGAAAAACTCAGACATCAAGCTATCATACCAAGTACTCAAATCACAACGAGACGCTTTTCGCCATTTTTCACACATAATCCGGTGAAACATGGCGTCAAAACATGACGAATTGATGATTTTTATGGTTATCCTTATCGCATTTTGGGAATCCAAACATCGGATAAATCCCCTATTTTCCATTGGACTGGTAAGACTGATACCATCCCCTTGAGTATATCCAACTTTTTCACCGTGACACATATGAACAACACACATGCAGACAGTTTTACGTATAAATCTGGATGCAATTAGCAATTATATACCATATGATTCATATGATTACCTACGGACCTTGGATGTTGTACGTAACATGTTTCTCAGAATCCTTTTTGTTTTTGTGATGTTTGGAGTTCAGGGTTCCCAATCAAAAATAGATTCTAATTTTAAACAAAGTGATGAGCGCTACAAAAACGGGACAACCAAACCATGGCCATGGACATCGGCCAACTGTTGGGAACTTCTTCTGAAAAACCAAAAAGAAACGAACATAGAACCGTCAATTTCCCCCATGTTCTTAACGAGAATTCCGGCTTCCAATAAAGGTGAATATGGAGGGATCGGCAATTAAGAATGGGTACATGACATGAACCAGCAACAACGGTGATATTGATGTATTTGCATGTACCCTCTGGTAATTTAACATAGCTATTGAAAATTGCCATTTATAGTTGAATTATCCATTAAAAATGGTGATTTCCAATAGCTACGTTAAATTACCAGAGGGTATTTGCCTCAAAATAGGGGATGCAAGCCACAGCGTCTCCGCCAGCAAATATGTCGATGTCAAACAATAATCATACTGTGGATGGTTGCAAAATCCTGCATCACCTTGGATGGTTGAAACCCTATAAATAATTAGGGATGTTTACCATCTATCAACTGGTGCTTCGGATTTCGCAACCATCCACCGTATGACAGTAACTTTGGATATATTGTGAGACATGAAGAATTCTTCAGAATCTCAGAATCAACAATTCCATATTGAATATGTTTCCATAAGCCTTTGTTTCCATATTGAACAATCCATATCTCAGTTGACTTTGGATATATTGTAAACATATGTCCAACTCAGCTCAGTTTCCATGGATGTTTGGATGACCAACTGAGTCCAACTGTCCTTGGGTTGTGGAAGATGTGCCAACTGATACGGGCAATTGAACGCCTCAGCTGCGGCCGGGCAAATTGATCACATGGCTGGGAGCCAACGAAAACCATGGACATGAAAGTTCGCTGTGATTAGCCAATAACAAAAAAAAAGCTAAGTTGGTTGAGCCATCAGCATCGCCATCCAACCCAATCTTTTTCAGGTGTTTTTTAGTCTTGAGACCCTCAACACCACTTCAATGGATTGGCGGTTCATCGTGTACTCAAGGAGTTCCATTACCTTGTTTCAATGGTGGATTGTCTGGAAACAGGCAGTTAGTTTATCAATGCTTATCATCATTTACCGGGTAATGCACATGTAATATATGTAATTGTACCATATTGTACCCTGTTTCTGGCCCATGACATATGAAAAACATGAAAATCTTAAAATCATGATGATAAACTGCACATATTTACCTTTTATTAGCCTTTTACAACCGTATCATATGTTACAAACATTACAAACATGTGGTAAATCCCCTGCTTCTGGACCATGACAATCCCAGGCTATGGAAATGGAAAGCGCCGTGTCTGGATCCTGAAATCAATCATGTGGAGCCCGACTAAAAATGCCCCGAAATGGGAGCCCTAAAGATGTTGTTTACCCGAAAACATGAGATCTTTAAGCAACAATAGGGAATGAAACAACAAACAAATACCACGACATTTTGATGTTTTCCTTTCAACAATTGAAAACCATTTCACTGACAAACTGAAGGATTTCAGAGTCACAAAAATTGGAAGGACCTTCTCCAAGGCACATGTTGCTGCTCCGACGTGCCTCGGATGCCACTCAGCAAACATTGGAGCTATGGTAAATCGTCCCAGGGCCGTAGGGGTTTTTGATGGTTTTTGTGGATACCTGGGGACCTGGATCTTCAATTACTGTAGCACCTTTTGTCATCTTCTTTCTGGTCATAATGTTTCGTTTACTTTGATAATCTTTGATATACTTCGATGTATATATGCTGATTCTGACTTTTTGCGTTCACTTGAACTATATAAAACATGCGCTCACTTGTGTCCTGGCACACGGGTATTGACGTGTTTTCCAGGATTCTGGCTTCAAGATGCACAAAGTGGAAAAACGCCAATAGTGGGCAATTACTCTCATTTGGATAAAAACTGCTCAAAAAACATGAGCCTCTCAAATGAGCAATTTGTTTATGTGTTTTTTGTTTCTTCCGAATATACAGGTATATCTCTATACTTGTATGGAATTGTATATTCATATATTATAGATAATAACATAAGTAGTTACGTAAACAACCGCAACTGCTCTTGGAGATGGTGGAATTTATTGTTGTGGATGCACCATGGTTTCAGCATCGAAACTCAACGGGGTGTGAATCCCTTGCAACGACCTTCCGCAGCACCAAGGGACGACATGCAATGTGCACACCCCGAGGCTTTTTGGAAAATCCGTCGCTCCAGCGTAGGACCCTGCGGCTGGGGCCACTGAAAGATCTTTTCAGCTGCACCAAAAAAAGAAGATCCAATGGGATTTTAAGTTGAATGGAAGAATTCCAATCACAACTATCTGAGTATCAACATATACACTATCATGTAATACATTCAGATGTATAATATATGTATAATATATTATAATATGATTATATATGAATATCATAAAGGTAAGAAATCCAGGGCAAGCAAGTCCATCGGCACCAAGTTATTCTGTCGAGATCTTGGCACCACGACGACCTTTGATGAACTTTTTCACCAGCTCGTGAGTGCTCGAGGGTACCCTCTGGTTATGACTAACATAGCCATGGTATAGATGGCCCATAGAAATAGATGGTTTACCGAACTTATAAATGGGCCATCTATACCATGGCAAACTGTTAAATAGCCAGAGGGTAATACATCCCTGAACTCTCACATGGTCGTGCTAGATTGGCACCTGTAGCTACAGGCTTAAGATATCAACCTAATCGCATGCTTGGAACAAAAAAACATCCGATTTTGTATGGGCCCAAATGTAAATTCCCTACTAAACCATGGTTTCTGCGGGGTGCTTAATACGAACGGGGGAACGGAGTATTTTCATGGGATATTCTGGTTGGTGGTTGAGCACCCAACCTCTTAACCTGCCAACGAAAACAAAAACACACCACCCTCCAAATAAATCCAAAGAATGATCTGGATATTTAGTTTGAACGAACATTCACTCAGCTGAAATGTTGGCCATGTAAATGGATCTTTCCCCCTAGAACCATACAGTAGTGGAGAACAAGTGACGTTGCCGCACATCCATTTGATGTTCGCCTTTGTTTACAAACGGGTAAAAACATAGTTCATTCTACCCGACTATACAAGCATGAACTCAGAGTAGACATATTGAGATCTATGAATTCTCAATTCTCACCTGAAAATTGATAGACAGTATTTATAGACATGATATTGATGGTCAATATCTATAAATCTAGAAAACATATTGATTGAATTTATTCTCAATCCAGTCAAACAATGGGTTGTACCAATCATAGCTGGTTGGTGGTTGACCTACCCCTCTGAAAAATGATGGAGTAAAAGTCAGTTGGGATGATGACATTCCCAATATGATGGGAAAGTCATAATCCAGTCATGTTCCAGTCATCACCAACCAGTTATGATAATCACCAGTATTATCCCACTATTACCCTATTATCCACTATTAACCATTATTAATGATAACCATTAGCTCACCATATGATCATCACTATTACAATCACCAACCAGTTATGATCAACCACCGGATTTTGAGGACACCCATATCAATGGACAATGGACGATGCAACATCAACAGTTGAAGATGTGCACCTGCCCCTGCGCACAACACATACTTAATATTGTTCAATTATCATATATGTAAATATGATGTCTTGTTGAAATTGTTCGTTCTATATAAATATATATATATAAATGAATATATAAATGAATATATAAATGAATATGACTATATAATATATATCATATATCATATATCATCTATAAATATAATCCCTATGCCACGTTGGGTAAGTCCCAAGTCGCCTGAGTCCCGAATCGCCCAAGTTGGCCACCCCGAGCTTGGCTTCAGAGGGATCGAGTGCGGCGACCAACGCCGTAGCGGAACCGAAGGAAGTGACGCCCTAAGCGAAGCGGCGAGGCGCCCGGAGGACGGGACATGGATGGGAAGCATACGGAACAAGTATTGGAATGGATTGGTTTAAGGGAAAATATACAGGAAACCATGGTTTGTACTATCAAATATAGGGCTTTCCTGCAAATTTTCCCATCATCCAATCCATTGAGTATTGGAATGGAACACATCTGAGAAAATATGGCAAAGACATGGGACACATTTCTGAGGAGCTGTGGAAAACCTATGAGAAACATATGATCATATGGAGATCTGACCCAATAAACGTGGGAAATTCGACCTGGAGGAAGTCATCAAAAAAAACGCGACCCGAAGCAGCAGAACGTGGGGAGATGATAAAGTCACTTCAATATACTTCAATATGTTCTTTTCAAGTCAGTAGATTGAGGTGATTCAAGAGAATGCACTAATCGACAATAATCGACATATGGTGTAAGCTTCTTACAGAATTTTGGCCTGTGGCGTTCAGATGGACCATGGGGTGAGCTAGTTAGTTCGCAAATGGCTTCTACCTCTATGAAATACCCAATACAACAGGAATACCATGAGAGCAACTTCCTATGCTGCTTTTGTTTTCAACGTGGAAGATGGGACAATGGGAATGGTGAGTTCCACAATCGAGAGCGAAGTCAGTATGTAAAAATTCGCCCATGAATGATTAATAAGCGGAATCAGATCAAAAAGTAACTGGTTGGTGGTTTTAACCATCTTGAAAAATATGAAAGTCAATGGGAAGGACTATCCTATATATTCTGGAAAATAAAACATGTTCCAAACCACCAACCAGGTAATTTAAAACCATTTTGGAGACCACTCTGGTCAATACCCTGGGGGTGTGCGATTTGCGATTCCAGGCTTGACATTAACACAGTTGTGTGCCTTGAAGAAACTGGATGCATTCCAAAATCATTGCCCCATATGCCACTCTGAACCTAAGGTTCTTCAGAATTCATCATCCTTAGTGAAGTGGCACAAGTTTCGGATCATCCGAAATTCTGGAAATCATGCTACAGTTGCACTGACTAAGTCTGCTTTGGATCAATTGAGTCATGCCCCAGACACCCTTTTGCCGCCCCCAAGAGTACTGTTTAGCGTCGGTAATTGGTTTGGTGGTTCAACCCTCCTTTCAGACACCCGGCCTGGTAAACTGTCAGATAACGAACTGGAAAATCACCATTTTTCATGGGTAAATCAACTATTTCTATGGCCGTTTTCAATAGCTTTTTGTATGTTTACCAGAGGGTATTTGCAAGGGAGTTGTTCAATCTATTCCAGACAAGAAGGAACATCCCAAAAATTCCCAAACCACTAAACCGGGTTTCACGCCAAATTTTTGCCCACCCAAAGGGTTCAATGTATCGAAAAAGATCGAGAAAAGTTGCCACTTTTCTGGCAAAAAACGAGTACATGACGACCGAAGCAAGGTTTACTCTTTGGTTGTTTGGAATTTGGCTATCATCCATACACCTGGCAACTTGGTGGGTTTATTTCAGTCATCCCAAGTGCCATGGCATCAACCCATTTACAAACATGAGCCAAGGTACACATTGTTGCGTTGATTATAGATCAGAAATGGTAAACTTAACACTCATGGCTTAACAACTAAACAACCACTACCCTCTGGTAAATTAACATGTTGACCCTGGCATTTTTCGGGGTTGGAAGAATAGTTTCCATTAAAAATTGGTGATAAAATCAGGGTCAACAAGTTAATTTACCAGAGGCTACAACCACTACAGATCAGAAATCTACCAACCGAGTCCAAGCACGTCATGGCTTGTCAGAAAATAGATGACCCCGAAATATCCAATGATAAATGGCATGAATTATTAATAAATTGGTTTACTGGTAAATGTCCCTATCATTTATATATATATATATTTATATAATGGCATTTACCCTCTGGTGAACTAACATAGCTATGGAAAGATCCACCATGCTATTAATGGGTAAATCCACTATTTCTATGGTCATTTTCAATAGCGAACTGTTAAATTACCAGAGGGTATATATAATGGCCATAACTTGCGGGTTGTACAAACGATTTTTAGACACCAAATCATATTGAGTTGGTGGAGCATCCTACATGATATCCCCATGATATCCCCTACTGTAAACCACATGTGTGGTGGTTAAGTCCCACATTTCAGGGCTGGTTGCACCTTTTTTTGTAGCTTGCACTTGAAACCAATAATTATGTTCCTGTTCATTGCCAAATTCCTTAATTAAAACCATGTGAAGTCATTTTATACGTGTTCATCACTTACTGGTTGGTGGTTGACCTACCCCTCTGAAACATATGAGTTCGTCAGTTGGGATGATGACATTCCCAATATGATGGGAAAGTCATAATCCAGTCATGTTCCAGTCACCAACCAGTTATGATAATCACCAGTATTATCCTAGACTATTACCCTATTATCCACTATTAACCATTATTAATGATAACCTTACTTTTCGGTTATCCAGTGATTCCTTCGGCGAAAAATCCGAGGCCGGTTCGGCGCCTGGTAACCCTCCGAGAGCATCAACTGTGCCCGTGTCTCTGCTGCCAAACCCACCTCGCATGGGGATCCCATAAGAACCAACGTGGTCGTGGAGCACTGTAGCCCTGTGGTTCACATCAAAATAGCTGGGTTAAAATGGATGTTCATCCCCCTAAAATTTATGTGAATTTATATAGGTATTGATGCATGGCCATATATCAACATGGCCATTAGTTCTCATGATTAAGGTCCCAGTGGTTTGTAATGGATACCTTAATCAACATGGCCTACTGTGGTTTGATACCAGACTGTACCGAGTATATATCAACATATTTGCATCATCTTGAAAACAAAATGGCTTACGCAATCGATTTTGGGGAGTTTCCTTTTTCCAGGAAACTATGTTCTTTTAAGCGTACAGGTCATTTTTTCCAATAACATGTATTGGTTTTACTATTCCAAGCACAACAGATCACAACTAGTTGTAACTTAAGTGCCATTTGTATCGTGTTCTCTCAGACGTTCTTTCTGGGAAGAGTGCTCTACCGGCTGCTTTTCTTCGATCACTTCACCAAGCTTTTTTTCGTGGCAAGGGTATGATTCCCACGCGTTTCTGGAGAAACATCTCATGACTCCCTGCAAACCGAGCTCTGTCGATCCTGGGTCAACATATTACCCTCTGGTTATGACTAACATAACTATGGAAAGATCCAACATTTTTAATGGGAAAATCCACTATTTCTATGGTGATTTTCAATAGCTATGTTAGTTTACCAGAGGGTAATAAGGAGTCTTCTCCATTCTCGTTGTTTAGATTCATTTGATTGATCAATTCGCTGGTATTGTTTTGTTTTTTTGTGATTGGCTACATACTACCATGTTACACAGTCACAGAGTATCTGCTTGGTGGTACCTGCTTGGCAAAATCGAATCATCGCATGTGGGATGCTTGACCAGTTGATCGGTGCTTCCCGTTCCAAAAATTGGATCATGCTGGAGAATTACATCACAAACAAAATGTACCAGTGGGACATGCAACATCAAAATGACCTGAACATCCCGAATTTTTCAGGCTTGCCACAACAAAGGCAATGACCGGAATCTTGGATGCTAAATCTCAATTTTGGCAATAATCTGGCCCCATGCCTGGAATATATTTGATGCTGATTAAAGCTTCAACTATCTCCAATAGTTTCTGAAAATTTCTTAGTACTGTAACATCTCCACATCTTGTTTTCTTTTCCAGGAAATCGGTCGCTGAGTAAGATCGAAAAAAAATCGCCCAAGTCAGAAAATGCTGTGGGCTAAATCAGCAGTTTCACGATTAAATATCACTCAAATGTTCATGAATTCAGTAAAACATCCATAACTTCCCCAGAGAAAACGTCTAATTGAACTAAAAAAAACTTTAAATCCACTAACACAATTCACACAATCCATGAATTGGGAGTTTGAATCGCCATGTTTTTTTTTAAAGATCACCCCATCGATGCAGCCTGGTGCTGTGTCTGTTCTCCAGCGATCTTCGCCCCGTTCCTCAGCAAGGGCTTGGAGCCAACGGTCGAGTGTGCTGAAAAGTGACGACACGATATGCTGCTTGGTGGTTGAGCCCTACCATTGTGGTTAATATACTGTTAATAATGGTTAATAATGGTTAATAATGGTTAGTAATGGTTACTATATCATTATTCTATGGTTAATGATGGTTAATAAATGTTAATAATAATCTGGTTGGTGGTTGAGCCCTACCCCTCTGAACAATATGAACATCAGTTGGGATTATGACATTCCCAATATATGGCAAGTCATAAAAGTGATGTTCCAAACCACCAACCAGTATGGAGATTTCCTGAAAAATGGTGCTACCCTAATATCTGGATGGTTTATTTCATGGACAATCCAATTCTAATAGCTGGATGAGAACTCCGGGGTACAGCCACCAGGAAACCTCCATGGCTGACGTCAAAAATAGGGGATTTTCACTCCTCCAAAGGTGCATCCTGGTTGATCATCGATGCATTGACAGGGAAAGATGACAGCAAACTATGCTTTGTACCCTGAAATATAAGGGGGTTCCTGAGAATGTTCCCATTGTCCAGAAAGACAACTCCCTTATATTATCGTATAATAGTATTAATTTGATTTAAATTGTATGTAGAATACGTATCCCCCGGTTTTGTCTCGGGCTTATGAAGCACTTACAAACTGAGATGCACACTGGATAAATGACGCAGACGCAAACATATCAATCATCAGAGAGCATGGCTGCTGAAGCAATCAGCATAGGGAGTTCAAACTGCCAAAAATGCAACAGAAAACATGGGGATAAAATACCGCTACTACTACTGCTACTACTGCTGCTACTACTGCTACTGCTACTACTGCTACTACTGCTACTAGTGCTAGTACTGCTACTACTGCTACTACTAAGTACTACTGCTGCTGCTACTACTACATGATGGCATGGGTAATCTAAAAGTGGTAGCTTTATCAAGCGAACTTCACAATCATTGGCTTGACCACGAATGATGTTTTTAGCCGCGACGACTTGCTTCCCACAATGATCGAATAAAAATACATGCATCCAATCAGTATCTATGTACGAGTACGATACATCCCTTCAACACCATATCCTGGAAATAGTCGGGAAGTCAAACACCTGCCTATATACCGACCTGGCTTTTGAACCCGTCTCAGAATACTTCTGGGTGATGGCACTAGGCACCCTCAGGTTTTCAGAGAAAGCTTAAATTCTGAAAAGCCATCCAAAACAGATAATTGCCCTGCGAAGCAAAACCAACAATGAACACAAAAATACTTCAAAACACCTCAGGCTCCCCCTGTCGAGCGCGAGCCGCATGTTGCAAACAGAAAACATGTTGACTACAAAAACATACACGGCATAGCATATACATCACAATTACACTTCATACGCATGATGACCACCATACCATGCATGTCATACATATCATGTCATTCCGTAGGATGTGGTTCCAGTTAGAAGTGCTCATACAACCAAACTATACGATAGTTATAGGGGACCGTATCCCAACTTGTGGGGGTGATATTTTCACATGATCATACCCATCAACCCCAACTGCACCCCAAGTAGGGTATATATATATATATATTCCATCAATATCCATTTAAATCACATTTAAATCATATTAGATTCCATGGAAAATCACCATAAATCACCATTGATGTATCCTTTCTCCAACCAGCCGAAAAAAAAACTGTCCCTTAACTTACATAACTTACTCAAAGGCGTCGTCCGTCCGTCGTCGTCAAACACCTGGGCATCCAGACATCAACTCGTCGGCAAAGGCGCGAGGATCGAGACCGAAACGCCACTGCCACTCGCCCACACCATCGGCCACTCCTGTCGATGGTGGTGCCCAATGGGAAGCGAAGGCAACGTTGGCAACGTTGGCAACGTTGGCAACGTTGGCAACGTTGGCAACGTCAAAAATATGGCAACAACAAATCCCTGATGTCGAAAACTGAGATATTATTTGGACATATTAACTAAATATATCTAAATGTCATATGTATGTTCACGTACTGGAAACTCTTTTCGGCATCCCTTTTTCGCTATACACATTTACAGTTGGGGCATAACGTTTGGGGGCGCCACCTTGTAAGCCAAGTTTGGGAAATAGCAGTGCTGGATGAAACTTACATAGACATCATGAATCTTCAATAGATTTACAGGAAGGCAAATGTAATGGTTGAAATCCATGGTTTTCTCACCATCAACTACCATCAACTATCTGGATAAGCAATAATTCAGCAACCTCAAAAACAAGGTCATAAATGGGACATGATTCCAATGTGTTCTTTCAATTCGAAGGGCCGGTTTGGCTGGTCATTTCTTCACGTGAGGCCCTCCAAAAATCAACCAGTGCCACGTGGTCTCCTGCAGCGCTGCCATTGGGGCAAATGAATAGGCTGTCCTCTCCTCCCGTGTGTGCCTGGAGAATGACACTGGTGAGTCATAGTGGTGCTGATATGATTGATGGTCAAAATGCTTAGAGTTCTAGTCTATAGTGGTGATATCATTTGAAAACAATGTATATATTATATATAGCTATAACTAGCCATCTTAATAGGAGTTGAGGTTAGCCCAGAGTGAAGGATGTTTACTACCCCGAAAGCATGCTAGTTACATAATGTTACATATGTTTTGATGAGAACATGACATGATAAACAACTTGCTTTTGGGTACCCGCATTTTCAGTTTTTCTTGGTCATATCCATGGGATACCATGAATCATCTTTATGTAGCCACATAAAACCGCCATATAATCATCATATCATGAAATATATATATGTATATAACCATCATAAGTGTCATGTAATCAGAACATATGGCTTTCTCTGAACATATGATACCTCTAAATCCATTGCTTGGTCACCATTTTCCCATTTAAAGTATCTTAAAATGACCATTTACACACAGATACACAGCCCCATATCACCAGCATCGAACCCGCGAGCCGGGAGCTGGGCACGGGCCCCACGGGCCTTCTGCGGGTGCGGCATCTGTGAAGAGCCACACAGCATCCGGAAATGACCTCAAGGAGGTGGGAAGATGGATTTACATGGGGGTTTCCTAAGTCATAGGATGTCATAGAAAAGTCATGGATTTACATTGGTTGAAGGTCTTTGAAGATATAGTGGTTTCCTAATGGCTGGGGGTACCCCAAAAAATCATCCATTTATAGATGGTATTTTCCATGAAATAAACCATCCAGCGATGAGCTTGGGGGTACCCACATTTATGGAAATCTCCCTCCACATGTATAATAAGCACAAGTGCTGTCGTATAAACATGTTGAATAGTAAAAATCATAAATTATGTGGTAAACCCAATGTAAAAAATGGTTTACTGGTTATAAAATCGTATAAACATCTATAAATATGTTGAATATGTGAATCAAGATTCCCCGTCTTTCGGACACTTATTAACTGACCTTTCAAAGATGCAGAAAACCCCCAGAAAGGTGACACCCCACCTGTGGTTGCTGGGATGGTCAATTGGTCAAGGGCTGCTTTTTCTTGCTGGCAGCTAAGTCAATGCTAAGTCACTTAAGTCACTTAAGCAACGGTCTAAGATACTATCTATACCACTTGAAATTCAAAAAATTGACCGAAAATTGGGTTTACCACATCCCACCGATGGCCACTCAAGGGGGATCACCAGTCGTCCGAGTTTCTGTCCTTTTTTCCCGATATTCTCCCCCAAAAAACACACATCAGATCTGTGGTTTTTGATTCAGATTACCCTCTGGTAAACTAACATAACATAACTATGGAAAATCACCCTTTTTAATGGGACATTCCACTATTTCTATGGTCATTTTCAATAGCTAACTGTTGACATAACCAGGCCGGGTACACTTTTTTGGTAGTCGACTGTCTCGTGTACAAAAGACCTGTCCCTTAAAAACATCCTCAACTCTCAGCCCAGTGACTCTCTGTAAAAGACACGAAAGGCATATTTTCGCGACCTGACTTCCGTCAGGTCGCGTGGTGAGATGGGACCAAGAAAGGGACCAAGAAAGATGTCGTCGGAGTCGATTGCACAAAACGCGAACATTAAAACATTGTTTTATGTGAAATCATCTCTTTCCGTCTCTATGATGGGCATTGATATAATATGATTTCATATATGATGTATGTATATATATATATACGGTGTTTAATTGGTGAAGGGAAAAACAACAATGAAACACAGGACACATGCAACAAAATGGGCTTACGGTGGCAGGGATTCTGACCAGGTTGTCAACAAGCATGAACCGATTCCGATGCAAGTGATGGTGGCAAGGATCAACAAGGACAAGATTCCAGGGTGTCAAAGAATTACCATTTCATCAGCTTCCAACTGTCGTGCTCTGAGCAAAAAAAAACGTGTCAAGTTAATAAGTTACCCTGGAATAATGGTCGGAAAATATTAATACATCCCATCATGAATGAGATTCCATCTATGGATGTAGCAAACCTACGATGATAGCTGAGGGATGGCCATATCCCCTTCTCAGAATCGACAAAATAAGCAATGCAACTTGACCATGGCTGGGATTTGCTGAGATGTTGATCTGTGTCAACAAGCCGCCCTTGGTCAACATATGCTATCCAGTTATTGAGGATCAGCCTATTTAAGTTGGATGGGAAAAACAACACTTTGAAACCACCAATGGGATCCAATGAGTGTGTGGGTTTCGTTCTTTTCGCCCAAGATATGTCATGATATATATATATATAACACCATGGACCTGCTAGCCTACTTTTTTTTTGTCAGGAACTAACACATAGTACCCCGCCAAAAAAAAGATAGAAAAGTAACATACTTTCCATATATAATATCATATAATATGATAATCACAACTTTTTCTATATTTTCGGGGTTACTATATTCCTATAATCATCTATAATCAATAGACTAAACCAGACTAAACCAGACTAAACCAGACTAAGCACCACTTAAATCCTCCCCTATCCCCTGGGTGAGAGACGGGCACTTTGGAACATCTCGATGACGTAGTCCGGCCAGTAGCTTGGGATCATCCTCAGATTTAACATGATTTAACTGCCCTTCTTTCCACAATAAAGGGAGCATGATGTAGATCGAATGGAATAAACTGCGATTTTTAACTAACCATGAAAGATTTTTTTGGAACATCAGCCCGAAATGACGGTTTTCATGGGCAAAAAAACATTTGTTCGTATTTTTTTCCAGCAGTTTAATTCCTGGATGGTATGAAAAACCATGGTGCAGTTGATTGATACCCAAACCAGGCCAAGGATACCATGTGTAATAATGTGTAATACGTGTTTCATGGAATTGCAGAAAAAGTGTGAAAAATACTAACCCAGTTGGCCTAGCTAACCTTACCCGCTGGTAATTTAACATAGCTATTGAAAATGGCCATAGAAATAGTGGATTTTCCCATAAAAAATTGTGATTGTCCATAGCTATGTTAAATTACCAGAGGGTACCCAAGCCATGGCAAAAAGGTGTCTTGGGGATGCACGGCAAACCTCCACAGATCTTGGAAAGTTCACCTTTTGGAGCTTCGGGAAACTCGGTGGAAAACCTCTGCCAAAGGGCAAAGCCTTTAAACGATCATCTATGCCTATGGGACCCATGTTCATGGCAATTTCTTATCCTAACTTATCAAATAATATACAGTAATTACATCATAATATAATAATTATTTCTAATTACACTAATCAACCAGTTCACAAGTTCGGTCATTTTGGGATTCTTCGGTTGATTTTCTAAGATATGATGATTTCCTATGAATCACCATAGAAACCTATGAGGACGTTCATCATTGGTTCCCCCTATCTGTGACGTCACGACTTCGGTCATGATGAAATTTCACCAAAGCTTCAGGCGTCCGTAGCCTGTGGGGCGAATGGCGAACGGCACGTGCTTTTGAGGGGTCTGAAAATGGGATAAGAGCAGGAACGTCATGGTTTTAAGTTTTATGATGTTTTATGGTGTTTGTGTGCCTTTTATCTAATTTGATATATATTTTTATGTGTGTCTCAGAATGAATATAATATATATAACATAATTAATAACACCCCATTTGAGCCACAAAAAAGTAGGACAAACGATGATTCGAATCCATCCTTGGATCAGTACCTTATTTTCAGACCAACCTGGTTGATGTATTGCAATTGTTGACCTAAAAACATCATGTGGGGATGGGTCAAAACCCTATCCCCCTGGTGAACATCAAAATAGCTGGTAAATGGATGTTCATCCCCCTAAAAATGGTATCTATAGGTATTGATCCATACCCATACCCATTTGACGTCACAGTGAGGTTGTGATCAAACATCTCCGGAATTTTGGATCAAGATTCACAACAAGGGGACAATTCCCTGAAAGACCTGTTGGCCCGGCCGCGATTTTCACAATTCATGGATTGGTCCATGGATTTGTCCATGGCTATTCCACCATAGAAATTCCGGAATTGTGGATCCATCATGATTATCAACAGACGTTGGATCCATTTGGCAAAGTCCCTCTGGAAATCCAACATATTACAACCTGCACTTACAGTATCTTACAGTCCACAAGAGCATCATCGTGATTTTTTGCCACTGAAATCAAGTTGAAATATATTGAAATCTTGACTGTGATCCACCTGAAAAAAAGGCCAGAGAAAGTCCGAGAAGTCGATTTCCTACACCATCGATTTTTTTATTGGCTTCACATGGGTTCCATCTTCGATTTCTAGGCTTGCTGACACTTGCACAACCTATCAAGCTGAAAGCCTCTGTTTAAGTAACATCAATCATCATCGGGGCTAGATATGTTAAAGATATGTTACGTGCCTGGCTGCCCTGTTCTGCTTTGGAAAGAAACAAAAACCATCAACCACCTCTACCCTCTGGTTATGACTAACATAGCTATTGAAAATGGCTATAGAAATAGTGGATTTTCCCACTAAAAATGGTGATTGCCCATAGCTATGTTAAATTACCAGAGGGTACTTTCTGCTTTCTGTCCCCTGTCTCTGCTGGTGAGAAAAACCCAAGCAAAACACCACAACTGTCGCATGGGTCCACCACCATGAATGTTTCCGGTGGTCACAATGATTCTCTAACCACCGGCACCCCCCAAACATGGAAAACATACAAAAAAAAAACCGAGTCAACAACACCGACTCTTTTTTCAGCCTCAAGGTTTTCCCCCCAAAAAAAAAACTCAACCGACATTTGCATGACATTTGCATAGTCTTACCATTCCTTCCAGAAGTGTACCTGGTGTACCTCCCTCCCGATCGACCTGGGCAAGTCGAAGCATGTTGCAAAAGATTGTGTGCAGTCTCGCGACCTGGGGCCAGGGCGAAGAAAAATCCAGGATTTTTCAGCTCATGATCCATGTTTATCTGGTGGTTGACCTACCCCACTGAAAAATGATGGAGTTCGTCAGTTGGGATTATGACATCCCCAATATCTGGAATAATAAAAAATGTTCCAAACCACTAACAAGTTCTTTACTGGGATCTAAAGGGTATTGCAATGGTGCAACCGTGGGACTTCATATTGCCCAAATCGTCCGCTTCTGAAATAGCTCACCCTTGGGTCATTTTACCAATATTTTTCCTTATGATTTTGGGGTGGTTGGTTACCTATCTGACAGGCAACAGGAAAATGAGGGATATATGATTATATATATAATATATAAATATATACATACAGTATATATATATATACACATACAGTGTGTATATATATATACAGTATATTGTATATATATATATGTATATTTATATAGGATAGGGATATCCTGGGAGATATCACCAACTTGATATGATTCGGTATTGAAAACATCGCTGAATACTTTCCCCAGGATCAAGCTACATGGGATTGATAGGGTGTCCCTGGTCATCCACTATGAATGGAATTCCAAAATTCATGGCTAACACCGGGCAAAACCCCTATGAAAATGGGAGGGATGAGCATATCCCCTTCTAATCCTATTGGATTTTAATAATGAACATGAGGGAAATTCCATGAAAAGTCATGTTTTCTCGTCATGTTTCGGCCATGACACAACTTTGTGCCTGGGTTGGATTGACCAAAAATACCACTTGATCTGTTGCTTGAGAGGGAATAGCCAATCTTAGATAATTCACCTGCCCAAAAAATCCGAATCTTAAGGTGGTTGGAAAAAAACAAACTCAAAATTTGCAATGTATTCAGTTTTATCTAAATGAAACCAAACAGTCGTTGTGGAGATGATGGCCCCATGTTCAAACCCCTCCAGAAAACAGGGGGTTCACCAGCAAGAATTCCATGGTTTCTTTCAGCCACAATTAGTCCCGAACTTGTTGGGGGGTTCACAATGGTTCACCCTGATGGTTTCCATAAATGAGGCTACCCCAATAGCTATATAGATGGTTGATTTCATGGAACATCCCATTTATAAATGGACGATTTTTTGGGGTACCTCCAGCCATTAGGAAACCACTTAATATCTTCAAAGACCTTCAACCAATGGAAACATGTCTGGCCAAAGACTGGGCTGAGATTCTTGCAGAAAAGATGCTGTCCAGGCTGGGATGAAATACAAGTTGAAACATGATAGAAGCAACTTATAAATAACACGACATCAGGTTTCTCATGTATTTTCCATCACATCTACTAAACTTCTCCAACTTATCAATATAAACAATGTATAATGTCAACCCCGGATTAATAAACCGTGGTTTATTAAGTAGGGGGTACTCCTCCAATAGTCATAATCTGATACTGAAATGGTACCCTCCCAATTAACAGCCGTAAACGGGGTTTATTAATCCAGGGTTGACATTAATGATGTAACAAGTACAGGTTACGGTTACAGCTTCTTACCGGTCAAGTGATCCTCTGCTTCGTACAGTCCCTCTGCTACTGAGAGACGCATCATCAGACCCTTCACGGGGCGCTCCTGCGTGAAACTCAAGTTGGGTCAGTTGGATTCTTCTGCCAGGCATATAGTTAAATGATATGATATATCATATATATCATATATATATTATATACTTAATATATCTTAATATAGTCAACTATATCTGGTTAATTATTATATAT